ACTGACAGGACAATTAATCAGTGGAACCACTTGGCTCCAGAAGTTCAGATAACAGATAATCAGAGTTGGAAGGGACCTTATAGGTCATCTAGTCCAACCCCCTGCCAAAGCGGGAGACCCTACACCATTTCTGACAAATGGCAGTCCATTTGTGGATGCTTCAACACTGGAGGTTTTTAAGAAGAGATTGGACAACTATTTGAACAGGAAGTTGGATTAAAAGACCTTCAAGATCCCTTCCAACTCTGCTATTATATTATTATCCTTCCATTAGATTCAGGGAGAATGGTCCTAAATTGGGCAAACTGCTTCACAGGAACAACTGAAAACTCTCCTGTCTGCAAATGCTTCTCAAGAAAGGGAAAAGTACTGCTGATGCATATTTTGTTGTTGTTCCAGACTGCCCTAAAGGTCAGAGTGACCAAAAGGTCTAGTAAGTTTACTTTTGGAGTAAAAAATTACCAGACTACCCAAAGCATTTGAAATTGTTTCCTTTGTGTTCGAGCTTCAGGCAGACTAAGGAGGGTTGGATAGATCTGTTTAAATAACATGTCCAACAATTTGATTTTAGGTTCATGCTTTCCATTGTAAATAAAGGAAAATAATACACCAGTTTCTTAACTCTGGACGAGGCAGGGGCACTATAAAAGCTGTTTCCATGAGTGCTGTGCTTGATCAAAAGTTTAGGTATGTAAATATTATAGATAGAATGCACATATCTTTGTGTAACATCTAGTTAATATTTTTCTTGTTTTAAAGAAAGAACTTTCCTACATATTCATTGCCCTAGCATTCCAAACCAGTATAACCAACCAAGATCTCAGTTTTTGTGCAGATTCGTGTGTAACAAAATATATTTTAATACACCTGAGTCTTTGCCATAAGCTATGCTAAAATATTCAATTAGTTATTCCCGTGATAGCGAAACTATGGCACGCATGCCACAAGTGGCACACAGAGCCATTTGTGCCAGCACGCGAGCCTCAGGCAAACTTACCTCACTGCGCATGCACACACCTCACAGCTGATATTTCAGCTGGTTTGAGGCCTTTTTCGGCCTCCCAGAAAGCCCCTTGCAGAGGCTTTTTCCAAGCTTCTGTGAGGCACAGTGCAGGTAAGGGGGCGGTGAGGGTGGATTGCGCACACATGCATGGGGGCGTGGGGGGCCCATTGCATTCTGGGTGCTGGCATGCGATTGCACGTGTGCTAATGTGCGTGCCATTTTTGGCATAGGAGCCCAAAAAGGTTAGCCACCAATGAGTTATTCTGTCAGTAAAATCATATGAGTTTCCAAAATTCAGGCAACTAGTGGGCATGTCAAAATTAACACTTCGAAGGATATCAATTTAAGAGGAGCCCAGTCAAAACCCATGTAGAAATGTGAATCTTAGACTTTCTTCCTAAACTCATCAGAAAATCTAATTATGTAATTTTATGTCTATGTGTTTTGAAATCATATCTTAAGAATCCAAAATGTTGGTCTAGAATGTTGGTCTAGTAGACAGCAATTACAAGCAGATAGACAGATGTTCTCAAGTTAAATTGTATAGCTTTTTAAAAAATAGAATACATGTAGTCATTGTTTAGTGACTGCCTCACCCCCGATACCTTAAAGAGACAGGTGGCTGCCTTGGCCTCAGTGATTTCGGTCAAGGGCTCTAGTATTCTGGCTCAACACCCTAGGGTGAAAGCCTTCCTTAGGAGAGCCACGAATTTGAGACCACCAGTGGTCCATTGATACCCCACCTGGGATTTGTCTAAGGTCCTGCAGGCATTGACTTCTCCCCCATTTGAACCCTTGTGTAAAGTCTGCCTTCGCCTTCTCACGTGCAAGGTGTCATTCTTGGTGGCCATTACCTTGGCCAGATGTATTTCGGAGTTGGTGGCCTTATCCATCAGGAAGGATCTGTGCATATTCCATGCAGACAGGGCATTTGGACCCTACCTTCCTGACCAAGGTGAACTCCTTATTCCATCGTTCACAGGAGTTGATTTTACCTAATTTCTCTCCTGAGCCTACCCATGCACTGGAGATAAAATTGCCCACCTTGGACATTGGGAGGGCCCTCCGTATTTACATTAAAAGAACTTCTTCTCTTAGGAGGACAGAAGCCCTGTTTGTTTCCTTTCAGCCATCAACTTTTGGTCGCAGGGTGACACCTTCCACAGTAGGTCACTGGCTCAGTCTGCATTGCAAAGGCCTATGAGTTACAGAGCCTTCCTGTACCCAGGAGAATTACAGCACACTCAACCAGAAGTGCAGCGACCACCGCAGCCTGGGCAATGCAGGCATCGATTCTGGACATTTGTAGAGCTGCGACCTGGTCATCGGTGACCCCATTCATAAGACATTACAAAATTGACTCCTTTGCCTCAACGGAGGCGTCCTTTGAAAGATGTGTCCTGCAGGGTGTGCATGTAGAGGTGGGGACCTCCGACCAATCCAGATCCCACCTGTAGGACAGCCATCAGCCAGCTTTGGTATGTCCCATCCTGGATTCTCCCTTCGGCTCAGTGGAGAAGGACCATTGGTCCTACCTGAACGCTTGTTCTTGGGGAGCCGAAGGGAGAATCCAGTCCCACCCTGTATTCTGTCAGGTCGGAATAGGGAGGAAATGTCCCTTTTTTTGTAGTATCAATGAACTATCTGTTTGAGGACGAGGAGCAGTTGAATTCGCTTCAACGTCGTTCAGAACTGGGGACCGTTACCAAGGGGGGTGTCCTCAGTTTTTCAACTCGGTCTGCAGAGCTAGGAGACTAGAGACTACCCCCATCCTGGATTCTCCCTTCGGCTCCCCGAGAAGAAGCATTCAGTTAGGACCAACGCCCCTTCTATTCACTGGATGCAATACTGTTGAAGACCACTACAATATATTTATACTTGAAGTCAAAAGAGTCATCAAACTGTATGTTCCAATAACAACTCCAAAAACCAGAAAAAACAGATTACCCATAACAGTAAGGAAGCTTCAATCCAAAAAGAGATCACTTTGGCAGAAAAACAAATCTGGTCACGTTGCCAACTTCAAAAGCCGATACAAAAATTTATGCCACCAGATAAAGACTGAATGCACCAATTATCACATTAAACAAGAGGAAAACCTATGCACCAATTCCTCCTGCGCTTTCTAAAATTTTGTAAACAACAAATTAAAAGACTCAAGGTCCATCCCACCCCTGAAAGGACATAATGGTAAAGACTGCAATGACGACACCATTAAAGCCAACCTCTTTAACATATTCTTTGGCTCAGTATTTGTAAACAGCAATGGATCATGCCCAGTATTTCCTAGTCAGACCACAGACAACTACTATGATCTAATACATATCGATTTTACAGAAGACAATATTGAAAAAGCACTACGCAATCTAAAACCATCTCTATCTATTGGACCAGACGGAATATGTGCCTACTTCTTTAAAAAGCTATCCACTGCCATAGCCGAACCTCCAAGCGTAATCTTTGAAAAATCTTCCAGGACCAGCTCCTTGCCAAAACTATGGTCACAAGCCACAGTCATTCCCATCTTCAAAAAGGGAGACCCCAGCCTAGTTGAAAATTACAGACCAATCTCTTTATTCTGCGTCACCTGTAAAGTCATGGAATCAATGATTAACCAATCCATTATCCTCCACTTAGAGACAAACAACCTACTCTCTAATAAACAATTTGGTTTCAGAAAAAAACTATCCGGCAATCTGCAACTCTTACACTGCAAAAACATATGGACTACACAACTAGATCAGGGTAAAGCAATAGACGCAATCTACATAGACATCTGTAAAGCCCTTGATTCAGTGATACACGACAAACTACTCCTAAAACTAATATTTTATGGTATCTCTGGACCCTGCATAACTAGATAGAAGCATTCCTGTCAAACAGACAACAAATGGTCAAAATTGGGAGTGTCCTATCAAATTCTATACCTGTCAACAGTGGAGTCCCCCAAGGCAGTGTTCTAGGACCAACTCTCTTCATACTCTACATAAATGACCTCTGTGATCATATTAAGAGGAACTGTGTTCTCTTAACTGATGATGTAAAGCTATTCAACACCACAGACAATACTGCTACCCTTCAAAAAGACCTCAACTATGTATCAGAATGGTCAAACAAATGGCAACTTCAAGTCTCAACAAACAAATGCTCTGTCTTACATATTGGCAAAAAAATAATAATCAGAAAATGAAGGAAGGAAGGAAGGAAGGAAGGAAGTTTATTGGAGGCAGAAAATGCAGTATCTTCTGTAGCAAATACTTCTTTTTAAAAAAATTGGTTGTTTCGAGAACTTCAAAAGGGAATTTTGTGTTCTTTTCTGAGACTTGGTTTTGTGTTTTTTTCTGAGACTGTAAAATGCCTGTTTTGAATCTATTGAGAATTCCCATGAAAAAGCCATGGCATTCAGATGAAAGATTTATGAGAATTACAAAATCTTTGCAACATTTGGAAACATTACTTCATGTTGTAAAAAAACATTACTCAGGAGATTTTTGTTTCTATTTCGTAAGTTTAAAATATATGTATGTATGCATGCATGCATGTTTGTAAGTATGTATGTATCTATGTATGTAGCATTGCTACTTTTTAAAATATACCCAAATAGTAGAAGTTCTACTTTGCCAGCAACTTTTATGAATTGGCTTCACAAGATTGCAGCATGGTGAAGATTTCCTAAATTTTGTGGGGAGCCACTACAAAAGAAAAGTATGAAATTTCCTCTGTTACATTCCGTGTGTTTTATGACTCTGCAGTTCCTTCTGATCAAATATTATAATAGAAAGTTGATCTAAATAAACATTTATTTATTATCCCAGTTTAGAACATTTTTAATCTTAGAAACTTATAAAAACTTATTGATATATAATCCGCAAGAATGGTACAGAGCTCTCAAACTTTATAAATAGGCAGCCACAGATTCTGTGTGCAACCTTTTCTGTAATTAGCATAAATTATTGTGGTTTTGATGGAACTAATTATGTATTTCCTTTTATTTCAGCTCAGATTGGGTGGAAATTATTGAACCCCGTTCCAGGGAGCGAATGTACGTCAATTTGACAACTGGAGAGTGTGGTTGGGATCCTCCACCTAATCTCAGAGTTCGGCAGTCTGATGAAAATCAGTGGTGGGAACTCTTTGATCAAAACAACAATCGTTTCTATTATTACAATGCCATCACTCAGCAGACTGTGTGGCACAGGCCTCAGGGTTGTGACATTGTGCCACTAGCTCAGCTCCAAGTCATGAAACGTAATTCCCAGTCTGATTTCAGGACATCACAGCACAGGAACAGTACAAGTAGTGAGGGACGAAATACTCCTATCCAAATAGCTCTTCTACAGGACATGGAGAAGAGTAAAGACAACATCAGTCTCGAGAAGAGGCCAGAAAGTGAAAGGTAAATCATTTTCAAATTTCTCTGTTTTGTTTTTCTCTTTTTTTAATAGCTATATAGGGAAGAGAGAAACACTTCCTTATTGTAGTGCATAAGGCAGAAGGCTACAAAGTAGAAGACTCTAAATTCAAGCCCCATCTTAGCCATGAATACCAGCTGAAGGACTTTGGGCCCGTCAGTTTCTCCACTGAGTCAACAGGAGAATCCAAGTTGGGTAGTCTCTAGCCTCATTGTTCTTCAGACTGAGTTGAATTCTGAGGACACGCCTCCCTGGTAACGGTCCCCAGTTTTCAACTCAGTTTCAGCTCATTCAGACATCCCTTAAGGGCTCTGAAGACCTTGAGTTTCAGAAAGAATTTTTACTACTCCCAGGATCTCTCATTGACATCAGAGTTGGTTGCAAGGTTTGACAGCTGTCCGACTTTGTCGGCACAGCCACTTGTTATTTTTCGTGCCCTTTTTATATTTTTGCACCTTTTTCTGGATATTTTTATTTTACTGACCTTTTAGTTAAAACCTTTATTTTTGGATGCGGACCTAGAGGGCTCCAGGATTTCCCGTGTTGACCGGGCTGGGGCTGGAGTCATTGACCAATCCCTCGGTCAGACTCCAAAATGACTTTGAAGCCGTAGCAACAGCGACACGCTTAAGACTGACATTTTTTACAGAGACTGACTCAGGTCCTGCAGGCAAGATCCTGGATGGTAACTAGGGAGTCTGCGCTGGAATTAACATCCAGAACGATGTGACAGTTCCCCAAATTGCCACGGCAGCTGTGAGTTGCTTAAGTCTGCCTGACAAACTTTGGGCCAGTCAGTGTCTCTCAGCCCATTGTATCAGGCTCAAGTACAAGCCAGTTAGTAACTCAGAAATATCAATGGAATGGTTAATGAGTATCCAGTTTTTAAAAATTTGCCACCTGACAAAAATAATTTTACAGCAAATAACTTACTCCTTGATTAAACAGTGTTTCTAACTGAAATCATTCAGACACATTGGGATAAACAAAAAGAGGAATTTGGCCTATTATGCTTTACAGAAAGAATTACTTTTTCACAAACAGAAACCAAAATAACATTTCTGATATGTCCTAATCCTACCATCTTAATTTTTAACACATCTCATGTTAGTTTTTTAATACTGAATATGTAAAACTGATGTCTCTATGTTGTGTTTTTCCAATATTGTACTATAGCTAGCCTTGTCCAAATAATTATGAATTGAACAGTTATCTTGCCTCACTAAATAATGTCAGTAAATATATCTCAGAACCATAACTAAATTTTCCTATATCTATACTATTAATCACTGTAATCATTTTTGATCAAAATCTTTGACAACTTCACAGGACCACTGTGTATGCATATTGGTGCCCTTTGCTTCAACACACTTCCAACATTTATTTGAGCCTTTCCCAGTAATTTTACTTATGCATAATACATAATACTACCTCTTAATAATTTTCCAGGATAGTAATTTCTCCTGCTCCTCATTTATAATGCTAGGTTCTTCCAAAGTGTAGTCCACTGTGTGTCAGACATATCTTAAATCTGATTCCTCTATTTCTTTCAGAGTTATTATATGTTTTGAATATTAGATCTTTAGAGGACTTTGAAGGTTCTAACATAAGATTTTCAAAAACTTTTAAAAGTTGCAATACTGTCAGCTTAAAAAAATCCAGTAAGTTTCTATAAATAATATTAAAGCCAGGAAAATAGAAATGACTTCATTGGCTAGCACCGAATGAAGATATAGTTCAACAAATTTGAAGGGCACTAGATAAAAGAAGCTTTCTTGAAATCTATTTTCCTGATACCATTAGACTACCTGCAAAATGTTCAAGAGATAATCACTTTTTCACCCATAGTTAATTTTTTTTATTTGGTTATTTCAAGCATAGTTTAAAATCTACAATGTTCTTTCTAATAAATTAAAAAAAAATTTTTTTGTAAAAATTTTATTTGGATTGTCACAAAACATAATACAAATAAAATATCTTTTTTTGAGAACAGCATGGTCCTGGGTTATCACTTCTCCATACAGACACAAACTCAATTTCATATTCATCTTTGTGTTCTATTCCATATCTTACTATTTTAACATTTTCTCAATAATTTTTCCCTTTTCTTAGTTTTCTCAACCTTGCTTTTAATTATCTCATTCCTTTCTAAATTCAATTGAATTTAATAAATTAAAAATTCTTGAAGGCAATCACAATGAAGAAATTGTATTTTTTTTTAAGGCTGAACATTTAAAAGAGCTAAATGGCTACATTGCCAAGACCAAATATAACGTTTACTTACAATCAGCTTTTTTATTGCCATTCCCTTTACGTGATTATAGGACACACTGTATTCCTTAAAAGTAATTTATATTTTCCCATTTGGGAACTAGCCTTCCTTGAATGATGGGTAAATCATTTTCAGCAATAAAGTGCAGGAGCTGAATAACTATTACAGTTGTTGCTGATTTTTTCGGCCAATATAGCATAGAACAGTTTTGCCAAGCATATATAATTACCATGCTGACTTGAAATACATAAGTTTATAGTTCTACTGCAAGGGTGTCAAACTGGATTTCTTCGAGGGCCGGTTCAGCATTGTACTTCTCTTCCACGGGCCGGCTGGCGGGGGGGGGGGGGAGACTGGATGGACTCCTCCTGCAGCACCTTGCTGGCCAAAATGGTACGTGGGGAGTTGCACACTGCCCCCCTGCATCCCGTTTTGGCCGGCAGAGTGCTGCAGGAGGCCGTCCGAGCCGAAAATGGGGTGCAGGGGCTGCGCATGGCCTCCCCTGTGCCCATTTTGGCTGCCAGAGGCACCACGGGCCAGTCCTTTGCTATTTCCAGGATGAACCCACAGGCCAGATTTAAGCACCTCACAGGCCGGATCTGGGCCACGGGCCTTGAGTTTCTGTTCTACTGCATCTGGAGATAGATTAAAATAGAGATAAATAATAAAGTTAAAATAATTTATTTTAATTTATTTCCATGTTGGTATAAAGGAAGGATTGATTCTCTTCCCTTTGATAGTTCACAGAAAGAGATTTGTGATTTGATTAAAAACCAGTCAAAGACCAATCCTTGGTCCCAAAGTTGGGTTCTTAATCATTAAAAAGGTTGTTTTTAATAGTTTCCAAGGTAAAAGGCAATTTTTTTGGAATGCCAACATATCACATAAATGGCAGGGGTGGGATGCTACCGGTTCTGCCCAGCTCTATAGAACCGGTAGCTCTGAAGAGCAGCAAACACCAAACCGGTTCTGTGTTTGCTGCTGTTTGGCCCACCCGCCCGCCTAGGCTCTGACTTGTCCTTTATTTCCTGCTTTTTCAACCTCAGCTGCTTTGCGCGGCACAGCTGAGGTTGAAAAAGCAGGAAAAAAGAGGCTTTTCAAACGCTGCGCACCCACGCACAGCACTTTTCAGCTGTCCGGGTGGCACAGTTTAAAGTTTTTTGCACACGCGCACAGCGCAAAACGTAGTCACCGAACTGGTAGTAGCACCCGTTGAATCCCACCTGGTAAATGGGGAAAAAATCCTGGCCACTGGTATCTGCATAAAATTGTACAGGGGATGTAGTTACATTTTATCAAAACGCATCGTAGCATATACAGGTAGTTCTCGCCTTATGACAGATTATTTAGTGACTGTTTGAAGTTACGATGGACAACCTAAAAGCAACTTACAACCAGTTTCAAAGTTCCAGTATCGCCTCCCCTCCATGATCAAGATGGTCGCATTTTGGGTGCTCAGCAACCAGCCCACATTTACTTCCGGTTTCTGGCAAAAACTGTCTGTTAGCAAACATTAGATTTGCTTAATGACCTCAGTTTGACTACCATATTCATTTAATAACTGCCTCAAAAAAGATTGTAAAATTGGGTGCAGTCACATGGTGACCTACTTTACAACCACCACAACTTATAATTGTAATCGTGGGGCTTAATTATGGTTGTAAATCAAGGACTACCTGTATGTCACGTGGCTATGTATATGCCCATCTTAAAATTACATAATGCTCAAATGTTACTTTTTATTTGGGCCTCCATCCTGAAAAAGCTAAGCATGGTGAGAACTAATATTAGAACTCGGATGGGCGGCATCAGGAAATTCCAAAGCTATAGACTAGATTGGGAAGTTGAAATAACAGATCAGAAGAAAGCAGTGGCAAACTACTTCCATATTATTTCTAGGAAAACAGTAAAATATATCTATTGTCATTGCACTGATAATATTTGCAGCATGTGGCAAGTATTCCAAATTGGATTTCCCAGTTATAATATTTAGCCTGGAATTGCCCTGTCTGTTGCTTAAAGGAAAATAAACAGAACCATATAGTAAGATACAGATAAAACACAACTGAGACAGAAGTACAAACAAAATACTAGAAAACCTTAATATGGAAGGTTCTTATAATTCATTTGAACAGCTGCCCATTACATTTTAACTTATCATCTGATAATGAACAAAGGCAGCTATTCAAAACTGATGGAGCACCTGTCTGATAATCATGCATAACACAAGCTCTTTTGCAGTATATCTCGGGCTGGCACCTATGATACTATTTTTCTAACAGAAATCTGGCAAGACCTAACAGAACTACAGATGCAGGCTGCTCTACTTTTTCCTGTTAGTACTGGGATGCATCTGTTCTAACCTGTCAATTTGTTACATGAATAACTCTCCAATTACAAAACATGATAGGTTGAAAAAGCTAGTAGAGAGCAACTTTAATAGAGGAGGGAAAAAGAAGTGCTTAAAATAGAAAGATGGCAGGCTGACAATGTTGTGCAAGTAAAGTTTGAAAATTGCCTTTATCCCAAAATTTTTGAGAGATGGAAACTCTAATATAGAAGCTCCCCTATATAAGATAATCAACACACAGCCTGTGTAATTTATAATTTATTTGTATTTATTAAGAACATCTATCAGTCAGTTAAAGAATCAACAGCATGAAATGGATTGTAGAGATTATAGTACAACTGCAAGCCAAAAATTACAAGCATTCGAGTGACAGTTTGTAGAAATGCTGCAGAATCCTTTTTACCTCAAAATGTTTTCCACCTACTTTTTATACTTACTTTTTCTCAGCACAAAACTTGACAGTGGAGCTTTGTCTAAAATTCAAGAAGATATTTGTAACACATACCCAGTTTGTAATGTAGCACAACAGTGCCATCTAAAGTATCTGGTAAATCATCTCATGCTGAAAAGCTCAAATAAAGGGAATTCATTTTTTATTTTTTCCCAAAGTCTCTCCCATACAATTCCTTCTAAAACTAGTCATGTTTGCCATTTACCCTTAGAATTGCTCAGCCACTAGATAATTTTAGGAAATGATGGCTAGTCTGGTGAATCAGCGACAGAGCATTTTGCTTGATCGGGCAAAGCAGCAGTCATTCTCTAGAAAGAAGAAGGCTTGCAGTTATCCTTCAGTTATTCTAATAGCACTGAACATACTACTTGGAGAAAGGAAAAAGCAGGACTTTCTTCTGAAATCCTTGATCTTAAGTATATACAGTAGAAAATTCGATTACTGGACTTTATTTGAATTTTGTGTGTGTGTGGTTGTTAACTTCCTGTCTTATTTCTATTTTTTTCCTTTCCTCAAATATACTTTTTTATAGCTTAAGATTTATCTTAAAGTGGTTTAAAGTTGTAATAATCTTATAATGCTTATCTGGTCAATGACATGCAAAAAGGGAATACAATCAAGATCAACAAAAAAATGAATGTTAAAATTATAGTTAAAAAGATAAAAACTAATACAAACTAACCACAAACTAAAAGAAAAAAACAGTGCAGAAAAAAACAAATAGAAAGAAAAATACAAAATAAATAAAAATAAGAATATACTAAAGAAAAGGAAAAGAAATATAAAAAGAAATAACTTTTCTCTTCATCACAATAAGTATAAATAAGTTTAGTAACGTTAGAACCTTGATCAAAGAAACCAACTTCTCCATGACTTAGAACAGTTCATTTAGTGACCATTTGAAGTTACAACAGCACTGGGAAAAAAAATTATGACCATTACAGCATCTCTATGGTCATGTGATCAAAATTCAGACACTTGGCAACTGACTCATATTTATGACAATTGCAGTGTCCTGGGGTCATGTGATCACCTTTTGTGACCTTCTGACAAGTGACGTCCATGGGGAAGCCAAATGTACTTAATGTTATTAACGTAACTGCACTGATTCACTTAACAACTGTGGCAAGAAAGGTCATAAAATGGGAAACTCACTTAACAAATGTCTCACTTAGCAACAGAAATGTTGGCCTCAATTGTGGTCATAAGTGAAGGACTACCTGTATTCCTTTCTTTTATTTTTAAAATCTTGATCTTTAATTTCTTCAAATAATTTCCTAGGTCTTGATTCTTTTTCATTTTTAATTTGTTCCTTCTCACAAAATTCTTCAAAGCTTTAAGAAGTCTCTTGTAAATCCAATATAGGAAAGTTATCCAGGGTTTTTTTTGTTTGATATTTGTATATCCCTTTTAATTATTAAAACTAGGCCGGTTTCTTTTGTATGTACAATATAGCATCTTTTCCCATGTCATTATTGCAGCCTGTCATTTTTAAATCTATTTTCAGATCAGTTTCAGACTTACTCCAGTAAAAATTGTTTCTCTTCCATAATACTTTTAAACACAGTCTCTCTAAAGAGGCAGGCACTATTGAAATTAACTTCTGAGTCCATTGTTTAAAAATATCCTTAAGTTGTGCACTGTTAAGATATTTTATCCCATGTTAGTAAATAAAATGTTTTTTAATTGTAATCTTTGGGGGGGGGGGGTTGGCTCCTTCTACTGTCAATCCTTCAGTCTCATTGTATCGTGTTTTTTAAAAGAGAATTCAAAACAAAAGCATTTTCCCATGGAAAGCATTCTTATAAATGAATTCCAAAATTTTATTTCAAATCCATCTGTAGTCTGCTTGTAACTTTCCAAAATTAAAGTTCTAATCATTCTTTTGCTGTTTATTCCAAAATAATTTTTAAAACTGCTTAAACTTGTTTTTAAAGCTTCTTTCGCTAAAGATTGAATAAACTCACCAAATACTGTAATTTCATTTACCCAGAAAAGAAACATGCACATGGAAAAATCTGGCCAATATAAAAAATTCTGAACAACTATTATTTCTCAAATTTCTCATATTTCTATGATAGCTGTGACAGAAAATAGAAAATATTTTTGCAATGTAATTAGTGAAATTCCCTGCCTTTCTCTCAAAATACACATAGCTTCAAACTTTGGGGCATTTTGTAGGCTGACAAAAGCAATATTTGTGTGTGTGTGTGTGTGTGTGTTTGTTTTATTTTTTAAAGTATTTTTTCCCCCCTACAGAAATACCCTTACTGGTTGGCAGCCTTTGCCAGGGACTAAAGCAACTATGCTGGTCAAAGTTAATAGCCTAAGACAAGTAAATTCTTCCTCAAGCAATTCCTTTCAGATGCAAAACAATTCAGAAATCAGCAGCCGGGAATCAATGAATCCCAAAGCAGTTGTATATGCCCAGTCTCAGCCTATGGTCCCAAACTCATTAACTCCAAAATCTACAGTTCCAGTAGAGATGAAGCGTTCAATGAAAATTAAAAAGACAGAGAATGGAGGATTTTGTCTGGTACTAACTAATGGGCATGCTCCTCAGCCTCCCTCAGGAAATCAGTTACAAAAATTGCCTGCATCTCCCAAATATGCTTCTCCACCTCCAATATATGATGAACCATCAATTGACTCCCCAATTTATGATGAGCCTCCTACAGATATGGACATTAGAATTACAAATATGAATGGGACAAATCCACAGTTGTCTCCAAGCAATAGCTTAAATAAGAAGATGCAACCAATTAAATTATTACAGCCTCCAAGTATACAGCAACACCAGGATGGAAAAAGGCATTTGAGAAACCCTTCTAGAACAGAATACAGTCCTGTGGGAAAAGAATACATTAAACACATGGTCAACATTGACCAGTCATCCAAAAAAACTCATTCTACCACTGTGATAGTTGATGACATTGATAAATCTCAGTTGGGTCAGGTTAGCTCTAGGGAGAGCTTCAAGCAGTCATGGAAAGTCGTAGAAGCTAATGTTCTTAAAAATATGGAAGTCCATAATCGCCAGCAGAGCAGCCTTCAGACTCAAGAATATCCTACAGTGATAAGTCAGCAAGACTCTGGCTATTCGACAGGTCCTTCTCCAAGTTTAAGAAAGAGAAAAGGAAGACGACACGTTCCAGGCCTGGGCAGACCTTGTTCTGTAGGCAGCAACAGCGAACTTACTGTGCTAAATGACAAGCTTATTGCAGAGATGCGTGCAGTGGTGAATAGATCTGCTGCCTGCAGGGGGAGCAAAGGTAGTTTAGATGCAGAAATGCTAGACAACACGAGTATGCCAGAGGGTAATAAAATTAAGTTTCAATTGGATTACTTTAAAAAGTGTAATAGCAGGAACTCAAGGGATGATCTTACATCTAGTAACAGGTCATTATATAGGCCTACAATGGAAGGTAAAGGAAGCCTCTCAAATGAACCGGCAATACAGCAAGATGTGGTGAGACAGAAGAGAACTTATGAAAAAATAGCTTCTTTAGAAAAGAATGTGTCCAGCCTGATAAACCCATCATCATCAGACACAGCACAATTATCAACACAGGTATTTATTAATATCAAACTATTTTAATCATAATCATGTTAGAGTATTTATTTATTGTCAGGAAGTCAGGCATTTCCTAGCCCTGGAGATTGTGAAATCATCACGTATATACTTATAATTATAACTTTTAATTTAATTTATAATTAAAACACGTTTACATGCTTTATACTATGCTGGGAGTCAAAAATTATACCACTAGATCATAATAGAAGGTATATGGGTTTAATGCTATGGTTAAAAGATTGCTTCTTTTGTTTAAAAGTTCACTATTAATGTGAAGTTTTACTAAAATTGCTAAGTTTTAATAATAATATTCCCAGATAAGATATAATATACACAAATAAATCAAGATAATTACAGTTTTCACTTGAAAATGTAGATGGTACAGGGAAAAAATAAATAGTATTTTTATCTAGAAGAGAAAGAGAGATTGCAAGTCACTTAGAAATGGGGGGGAGGGCGGGGGGGCGCAAAAAGATTGTAAAATAAATGAAGCATATAAAACCTCAAAGTTACCTGGACATGGGATTTTCCTTAGGATGTCATAATCTTCCCCAAGTAGCAATACATAGATGGTACAATGCAAAAATAGATAGTATTTTTAACTTAAGAAAGAGAGAGGGTGGGGAGAGAGAGAGAAAGATTTATTTTTGCAAAAATGGCAATTTTCTTATATTTTGCTGGCATAATGCATTAAATATTATTAAATAAATTAAACTAGACTTCTAACAATCACACTGAAAAATCTCCAGTACTCAAAATTGGTACTGGTTGCATATACTGGGATTGTTCATACAGTAGTGCTGTCAGATATAGATCGTCCTTAACTTATGACTGCTTACTTAGCAAGCGTTCGAAGTTACACCAGAAACTCCCCCTCCCCCAAAATGCTACTTACAACAGTAATACAGGAATTAAGTTACATTCTTAGAATGAATAAAATAGAATAATCTAATGTTAGCCTGCATAATCCAGTCTTCTAGAATCAGATACTAGAGGGTGCCGGGTGAAGAAAATGACCAAAATGACCAAATGCAGCCATTTTTGTTCAAAGAAAATTATCAACTCAGGCAGCTTTTCCATGATTTTTTGTCTGTTATTTTTACAGTGTGGAACAATAGGGTCTCTTTCTCAAGAAGAGAATAACCTTCAATCTGGAACCAACGTTGGATATCAGTTTCCCTTCCATACCATACGAAAGCCCATCTCCCAAAGTAGCATGACTGACTGGGCTTCCAAAAATCTTAATATGCATACTCAGGGCATCTTTCGTCGGAGGCTCTCCATTGCCAATATGTTGTCTTGGAATGGTGGCTCCATCAAAAAGCCAATGCTTATCACCAGTAACTGCACCATCAAAAAGGAAGCCTGTGAAATATTTAAACTGATACAAATCTATATGGGTGACCGGCAAGCCAGAATGGACCGCAATAATGTGGCTTTGATAACCATCACCAAATGCTGGAGCATTCAAGGTTTACGGGATGAGCTGTACATTCAACTAATCAGACAAACAACAGACAATATGTGCTACCAAAGTCTGGCACGGGGCTGGGAACTTATGGCAATTAGTCTGGCCTTTTTCTCCCCATCACCCAAATTCCAATCTTACCTGGAAGGTTACATCTATCGTCACCTCAGCCAAATCGCAGATGACAATAGTAAGTGCTTTATTTAATAAAGTAAATTACAGTATTTTAAACACCTGAAATAAAGTAAATTATAATAAGGGTAGGTTACCATAATACAATGCAGTGCATATTACTAAAGTTGCTCAGGACCAAAGCTTGCTTTCTTTCCAATAAAATGCAGTATGTGTTACCCAAGAACCTACCTTCTTTGGCCTAGGCAAAATGAAAAAAAAATGAAAGAAAGAAAAAGAAAATTCCTTGTAATATTTAGTGGGTTTATTGCTCTTTAGATTTAATGGTAGAGATTCAGTTTCATTATAATAAAAAACTTACATTTCTATAAAAGAACATTTTTGATAATTTTCCAAGAAATTTATTACAAAGCTCCATTTATTTATTTGATTGATTGATTGATTAATATAGTTGCATGTGACTCTGGAAGTATACACAATTAAAACAAAGTAAATCATAATTCAATTATTAAAACCAATTAAATATTAACATTAAATTATGACATGTATAACTCTGCATTTGAGTCAAATTTAATTCCTAGTGATTACAGGAGTGTTTTCTTGTTAACAATATGGAAATTAATTGCCCTTGCCTTCGTCCATGAAGTTTTTCAACTGCACAATCTAATCTACAGTCCTGGAATTGCTTGATAATCTCTCACCCAAGATCTAAAGAGGCCTAATTTTGTTTAGCTTTTGTGCTCAGACAAAATTGTTTTCCTATCTAGGCAAATATAATTACCGTAATTGCTATGTGTTTAAAGGTTTGTTTTTTTACATTTTAGGCTGAATACTGGAAAAAACTGGATGTTTATACAAGGACGTTTGTTTCATTCTTTGGTATTTTGTGATTTACTGAAAGCAAATAATTAGTTAAGAATCCCTTTTATATCCCTGGATTCTAAAAGCATAAAGTTCATACTTCAGATAAAATAATAATTTGAGAAAGAATATTTTAAATTCCAAGCCTTCTTTATATTATATACATTGTTCAAATAATTTGTGAAATATTAAGTTTTAGGCCTTAGACTCATGCAATTGATTGTGATGAGTGTAAATAAAAACAGCAGATACACATGGGCAAAATACATTTCACAGGGAGATGCACTTTGGATTTGTTCAGTGAAGTCAATCTTATGCAGATGGAAGAGGACAGTTAATATTTGACTGTCTTGCCATCACTCAATTAAAAATACGTTGTATTTTCAGTTACCCAACGCATTAAGGAACTTCTGGATCTGAAAAACAAAAAGAACTCAAAATCCAGGAAAAAAAGAAAACAAAGCGCAGAGGATGAAGGTAAAACATATAAGAAAACAAAAATCAGCACATATTTTTATTTGGGTATCACAGATATTTGGCACCCATTATTATAGTTGTTTGTACTTTAATATAGGTAAGTTCAGTCTGGGGCCTATGCAAAATTCAGCAGTATGGAAATAGAAACAAATGCAAAGTGAAATTAGTAAAATCCACAGAATTTATTTTGTTATTTTATTCATTATTCTGTAAAATATTCTGTAAAACATTTTATATAGTAGTCTAATGTATTAACATTGTATCTGTAAACTCTGATATTAACTATAATACTGCCTCTATCTAGGGTCTCATTTATTTCAACAAAACTTGTAGCCAAATAAACACAGATTGGGTTACAACCTTATTTTCATAAAGTAGTTGGGATCCTTCTATCCAGATGGGATCAGTTATAATCCTTGGCTCCAAACCTTGAAAACGTCCAGCAAAAATGCTAATTTTGTCATACTACTCTTCTGTGCAGATGGTCTTTTTCCATTTTTTTGTAGTCTTGGAACGTCAATTCAGTCCAATAGCTGATGCCTATTTTTAAAAATCCTAATAAGAATTAAGTGCAGGCAGCTTTTGCTTTCAGTAAAGGAGAATGTAGCTCAGAGTTGAAATGAGTGGTCCTTGGTGCTGTCTGAGCTTGCTTGTTTTCTTGCAGACATTTCATAATCCTAACTAGGTAACATCATCAGTGCTAGTTTCTGCTCTGTCACTAAAATATTTTTTCCATTGAAAATCTCTCTCCCAGTCTCTCCCCCCCCCCCCCCCGGCCAATCATATACACACACACATATATTCTACCTAGATAATTTCCATTGTTATTTTAAAAAGTGTTTCACCTGATCTTAAGACTAGTCTATCTGTTAGTATGCTTTAATCCTTGAGCAGTTTCTAAATATTTTAATGTATTGTCTTGCATCAAATGTAATATTAGTCAGTACTGTGAGAATTAGGTTCAGCAGAGTGATGGCTCAAGGGAAATGCAGTGCCCGATAGTATCCTGAAGAGAGAAGTAGAAATAGTTTATGTCCAGGCTATGAGGGGGTCTATAGATATTTTTTCAGCCCTCCTGACCCAGGCAATATTGGCATAACTTCATATTATGTAAGATTAACGGCCTTTCTACCGCCATATTCCTCACATTAAATAATAGATACATAATTATTGGAAGCCGGGCCCCCACTATGATATCAAACAACAGCAATTTGTTTGGGAAGAGGTCTCTGACGTTGGAGATAGCATACAGCTGTGATAGCTTAAGAGTCATTGATACTTTTATCTTCATAAATCAGTTAAATTCCTTTTTTGAATTCTTCTGTATCAGTGATGTTCTCCAAATTTTATGCTACTTAATTTATGAAATTTCTTATTTGCTTTATTACAATGCTTTATTTTGTTTATCCTGAGTCTTCAATCTATCAGATTCATTAGATAATTGAGATTTGTTGGATAATCCATGGATGGCTCATTTCCCACTATCTTATGTATGATGTTATAAATGTTTTAAATATTAAAACTAAAATTCTTTAAATGTTTAAGATTCCCCTTTTGGAAATTTTTCCAATTCTATACTAGTGTTTCCAATGTATGATATCCTTTATTAGATGCAGCCAACAAAAGTGCATGCAGCATTTCGAGTGTAATTGTCTATATATTTGTGCAGTTGTATGCAAAAATGCAATTCTGCTCAAACTGTATGTTTTCAGGAGCCCCTAAGTTAATACGTACTAGTTAGAGATTCATTGAAACAATGGAGATTAGAGATTCACTGAAACATGTAATTTGACTAGAGCTACCTAAACAGCACAATTGCATTTTGATTTAGAGATATTTCTTTTTCACTACACTTGAATGCCAGATGCATGCTTTCATTTTGCTAGCATTTCCAGATCTATTTTCCAGTCAATTACTGCCAATCAGACCCCTTAATTCCTAACTAAATGTTCCTCAGTTGATTCATACTCATTTTCTCTTGATTTACGTCTTTTTGTGTTATTGATTTTTTCTTATTTTTAAATGGTTCTTTTACAAGAACTTTTACCTGTTTCAGAATTTTTTTTTCTTAAAGTGCATGTCACTCAGTATTGTTGAAATCAACTGCAAGTCTTTGGAAAGGCAGTAAAAATCTGGCATTTTCCCTGAAAGTTAGTGGTTAGGATGATCAGCACTTCTGCCTAGAAGAGTGCAATAAATTTGAGTTCCATATCAGATTTTTTAAAAAATTTTTTGCTTTAAATTGGTATCTTTTATTTTATTTTTGGGGGGCGGGGGTGTTCATTCATCAATTATATGTTATCCAGAGTAGCATTGTTTGAATTGGGTGGTCATAGAAATGCTTTAAATAAAATAAACTATCTGCAATGCGAAAGTGGCATTTTTTTCCCTTCATTACTTGCTCTGTGTTAATTTTATCCAGGAAGTAAGCTTGAGCCTTGTGACTCAGGCAATAGCTTTAATTTAACAATAGGGTACCATCAAGCTTTCAGCATTAGAGGTCCCTTATCCAATATTTCAGGCAGCAGCAGGCACATTATACCTGTTCCAGTTGAAACCAATAGTGCAAAGGTTTGTAACAGATCATCATTTCTTGGTATAGCACCTTATGAAACAATCCAAGCATTGTTTTAGGTGAGGCTAGAGTTCAAATCTTGGATTTGATGTAAGGAGGAGTGTTCGTTGGGTACTGGGATTTTTTGATGGTGGGTTTGTTTGTTTGATTGTTTATTTGTTTATTTATTGTGGGCTGCCCAGTTATGGTACATAAGGTGGAGAAAAGCCTTTTAAATAAATACATACATACATAAATGGCAGTTTGGGAACATGCTAGAACCATCAACGTTTCCTTAGACAACTTTATGTAATAATTTCAAGACAAACTTTCTAGACAATAGCAAAAGGAATTTGACATTAAAACTAGCCTGAGAGTAGTGTTAATAATGGCAGCTATCTCCTAAACACAAAGTGAAAAGACAGTTTTTATTTTGTTTTGTTTTGTTTTAATGGGTAAAGTTGTTTTCTAGTGCAAAACCCAGGAAGATATAATCAGTTTTTTAGAAAAGCAATGGAATTTGAATAAACAATGGAGAAAAGTTTGTCTTTATATGTTATGATTTTTGGATGAGTTAATAATACAGATTTGTGGATAAAACAAACTTTGGAAGTAGTTTAGAATTGGGAGAATAAATGGTCCAATTATTACCACTGTAAATATATGGTATTTTTATAGCACCAAAGAATATACAATTTTCTCCTAGCTCAAAACTGCCATAAATGAATTGAATACAGGGGAAAAATAATTTCAGAAAAAACAACTGCACAACTATTTTCTTGGAGAAAGCTGTCCAAATTAATTTCAACAACAATGTTTCTAAGAATACATGTAGAACTCTTATTATTTAATGATAGGGTAAGATTTAGGGATAGAGAAGATGTACAGATATTCATGCTCTGGGATCATTTTCTCTTTAAAGGAATTTTCTAGGGCCACTCTTAATTTGTTCATTTTTATCTGCTAGGTCTACCAATCAGCACTTATGCCAGGTATTGTTACCGAAAGCTGCAAAAAGTAGCAATCACTGGAGGCAAAAAAGTGAGTAATTAGAAATATCATACTTTAATTTAAATGAATAGTTTTTTCTTTCTCTTTTTTAATCACTACAACTATTGAGATTGCTTTTAGCAGCAATAAGAATAAATAGACTCAAAAAGTGCACATGTACATTCTTATTGTACTATTAAGCAAATGAAAACAAAATCTGAATAATTCTGCTGGATCTTCTTTATGGAAAAAAAATATAGACGGGAAAAAAAGTAAGACTGAGAAGGACTATTAAATAAAATCAGGTTTGGTGTTTTGTTTTTGTTTTTTGAAGTATGTTGAATAATCATGCTAAAATACTTTAGCAGTCAGAATTAACTTTGTATAAGATTTTGTATTCCCGTGTAACTACTAGCAATTAGCATTGAAAGTAATGAGCCAGGGAAAGCAGTTTTTGAATCAGAAACGGTATGTTGCAGCTAATTCTGTAGATGCTGCCATCATGCTGGGAGTTCATATAAATACATGCAAATTGCCACTGACAAAATCTATAACTCTTATTTTCAGAATGTTTCAGTGTTTTGATGGAGTAATTGAACTCAACATGATATTGTATGTTTAGAAATACAGTAAAGATAAACAATATATGTCGGAAAAGAGCTCTTTGTGTTAATTTGTGAAGTTCAAAAGAGAAAAAAAGTAGTAGTTGAACAAAACAGAATTAACAAAACATCTAATCACCTTTCAGCTTTTGAGAGGAGAAAAGGAAAGGGAATGCACAATCTCAGTCTTGATGTAATATGTGAACTTTGAAAGAGCATTTACATATATTTCCATGCTAGCTAAAGTTAAGTTCCTGGTTAGTGAGATGAAAGCAGCAATCTGTTGGGTTAAAAAGTAGACTTTAGATTAGAGATCTGAATTTGCATATAATAAGATGCTTCACTAAAATTGGACTTTGCTTGAACTTGTGATATACTGACTAAGATATACCAAAACTGTTTATAGGTAATCCTTATCACTAGTCATTTAACAACTATCTTACAGTCCCCATTTATCTGTATTTATTCCTTTTTCTTGTTTATGTTCATACTTATACTTGTTATCTTGTACATGTTTGACAAATACATAAACAAATAAAGTTTTTGAAGTTGCAAAGGATGTCAGAAAAGCTATTTATAGCTCAACTTTGAAATTATGGCTGCCACACATCCCCTGCAGTCGCCTGATCTCATTGCAGGCACTTAGCAACTTGAGCATCCCATGGTCATGTAACCATGATTTGTGATGTTTGTTGCTGATTTCTAGCAACACCCCCACTCTGCCCATTCGGAAGAATGGATTCTTTTACTGACAATAAGATTTGCCTAATAACTGTAGGGATTCACTTTAAAAGTATCATTAAAAACAGTCATAAAATTGAGTTCAGTCACGTGATGCCTCGATTTACAACCACAACAACTTACAACTGAAATTTTGGGCTCCATTGTGATTGTAAATCAAGGAATACCTATAGAATTAGACTTACTGTTGGCAGAGAATGCTATATGTGGCTAATAAAAGACTGCTAACCTAGTCTATACTTTTCTTACTGAAAAACTTTAGCAATGTTAGATAGTAAAGATCAGTTTGTATGGTCCCATCTGATGGTGATCATGGCGAGTGAAAGACTGACCTGGAATATAGGTATAATAAATGATAAAGAGTAAGAATTAATGATAACAAAAAAGACCAATGTGTATCTATGAAACTAAGGGAAACAGAAGATCTGTATGAAAATGCACTGATCTTCTTTGTTATGACAACTTATTTGCCACTTTATTTCCAGAGACTCTGACCAGTTTACAGTATCCATTGAATAAAATTAAAATCCCCCCCAAAAAGAATCAGTACAGTAATACTCAATCAGTCCAATTCCCTACTATTTATGGGTAGCATAAACTTATTTCTTTTCATTGTCCGAAAAGACAATAATGTGCAATAAAGGATTCTGTTGCAGAGTGGTGCATAACTGAAAGAGCTAAGCCTGGAATACCCTAAAATAGTATTCCTTTGGTAATGAGACCAAAGTCTCTCCCCTGATATTACTAGACATTCAGTAATTAGGCCCTGAGCCACATAGAAATTTAAAAGTAACAGTCAGCACCTTGAATTGTGTTAGATGTTAATACAACTTCCAGAATATAGTGGTATGAAAAAATACAGTGAGACCATTTGCTCATTTAAAGAAAATGGATTAGGATTAAAGATGTGCACGAAGCAAAAGTAAATGGGTCAAGAAGGGGAAGACGAAGAAAGTTGTGACTGGGTAAAGTTAATAAGATATTTTATAAACAAAAGTCTAAAGACAAAATGTTATGTATGAAATTTAGTATGGGTGTGGTGGCAGTCAATAGTCTTTACAAGGGTAGAAAGATATAGAAAAAGTGTAGTGATTTTTTGCATAAATTCCTTTTCAACATATTATTTCATTCCTTTAATTCTTTAACTTAAGCTTTTTTCTTTTTATTCTGCATAACATTGCATATCCCAAAGATAAATTTTGTGATGGTTATATGTATACATATGCTTAAAAGTGATCAGATAATAACTATACTCCTTCAAAAGTTGTCAATTGGTATAATCCTAAAAAGAAAAATCATGGGTATATTCGGTATCCAATTTTGTATCTTTTTTTTAAAAAAAAAAAACAATTTTAAATACCCTTCCTTTTGAAATAAATCCCCATCTTTCTTCTTCTGATAGTATATTTCAAAGATTAGGAAAATATTTTTCTCTCTGAGCATTCCACCCAAATGGAAGCTGAACTACAACATCCTTCCAACCTATTGCAAGTTTATTTGGTTTTTGGTTTTTTTTTTTTGCTTTTTTAAAGTTTTCTTGTTCTTACAGGGTCTTCGGAAGCCTACAGTTGAGGAGATAATACATGCCAAGAATGCTATTGTGACACCTTCATTGTTTGGCAGCTCACTGGAAGAAATCATGTCACGACAGCAGGACATGTATCCAGATAACAAGCTGCCTTGGGTACAAACACAGTTGTCTCAGCAAGTACTGCAACTCGGGGGAGAACAGACTGAGGGAATATTCAGGTGAATATCTAACTACAACTGTTTAAATGATGCAGTAGTGATAGCCATCAAAACTAGATCATTCATCTATATTTGATCACATATCATTTCTTGAGAGTAAATATCTAAGATTTCATATATAGAATTTTAGAACAAAATATGCTTATCGAAAATGTAAGCATCTTACAGCCTTCTTTTGAACAAGTGCTTCTATGGTAGTGTTTGAGAGGGAGGGAGGGAGGAATTTCCAATGCTTTCTGTCAGATTTGTGAAAGGAAATCAATGGGGAAGCTGGCCAAATGTTGGAAATCACTCAGGATGTATTTTAGGCTGTTCTTACTCATTTTGTTTTTCTGTTTAGCTAAGGAAATATCTCTGAAACAATGACACAACAGATCATTGGTTGTCTACTTACTATTAAATATGCATCTATCTCTTAGAAATACTCCAGATAATGTTTATTATTTGTGATATTGATTGCACTTTCTTCTGGGTGTGTATGATTTTCTCCCTCTGATATTCAGCTTCATATATGTGTATGCTTTCAGAATTCCTGGCGATATTGATGAAGTCAATGCTTTAAAACTACAGGTGGATCAGTGGAAGATTCCTAACAACCTTAGTGATCCCAATATACCAGGTATGGAGAAATAAGAGAACAGCAAAACTATTGAAAATGTAGTTGGACACCTCAGCTTCTTAGTAGTTTTAAGTTGTAAATATATATTTCTTACATATCTCCTGTCTTTCAGTTTCTACAAAACTTTCAGTAATTGCTTCTGAAGAGAACAGTTGCTGCCCTAACTCTTTCTATTCATGATTTGTATCTTGTAATTATCAAAAGCCTGAATCAGTGGAGCTCAATATATGGTGGTTTTTCATTTTAGAAAGGCTAGAGTCAGTTATTTTATTTATCTAGGAAGAGGAGGAAAGTGTATTGTGATTACTCAGAGATCCACTTTGGAACAGTAGGCACCACATATTTTTATATATTTTATGTTTAAATCACAAAAATATAATAGCCACATTAGCAATTTCAAAATAGTATAAGCATAATACACAAACAGATATATAAAGTTGGTAAAACAGACAGTATGCTATAATTGTTGTAAATATCTCTGGGTTGCTTCTTGTCCTTGAAGCTTCTTTGCTAAAACTGTGGTATCGGGAATTGGAAGAGCCTGTCATCCCACAACAATTCTACAAGGAATGTGTGAGCAACTATGAGAATCCTGATGCTGCAGTGGCTGTAGTTGAACTTCTGCCAGAGCTCAATAAATTGGTCTTGTGTTACCTCATCCACTTTTTACAGGTACATAGATAGAGAATGCCTGAGCAGGAATCATTCTAAAAAAGCCTAAATAATCTATATATGGTTGTTCTAATTGGGGGGAGGGGTGTCATTTTAGACTGCATTTGCAGATATTATAAAACACCAAACTAAATTTCTTCTATTATCATACACCAGAGGCAGCCTTCAGGGCAAGGCTGTCTAAAGTGTTTCCATTGTGTCTCTGAACATTTTCCTTTGAGGAGCTAGAGAAACTAAATCACCTTGCCTGTGACCAAACTTTATTTTTCCCTCTTTATTTGAGTTGTGTTTTATTTGTTTTGCAGATTTTTGCCCAGCCAATCAATGTAGGCAAAACCAAGATGGATGTAAACAACTTGGCTATGGTGATGGCTCCAAACTGCCTGAGATGCCAGTCTGATGACCCCAGAATCATCTTTGAAAATACCCGGAAAGAGATGTCTTTCTTGCGCATGCTGATTGTGCACTTGGACACTAGTTTTATCAAAGGAATTATGTGAAGGATTGTTTTCTGGCAAGACTGTGCAAAAAGAGCAATTAGGTGGCTCCTGCATTTCCTTTTTAGAGTCTCACATTGTTTCTTCTAGAGTTTCCAAGATCCTACAGTTCTTTGTGATGCTTTTATTTACTTATCCTGATAGTAAGGTTGATGAATCTTCAATAATCCCCAAATGATTCAAGTCAATGACCATACTAGAAAGACCCAAAGGTGTTTTTTCAAGAGGCAACTGGATTTTCTGGGTTTTTTTGAAGACTTCGCTTGTCAGTTTCAGAGGTGAAGAAGCTTCAGAGCTGAAGAAGAAGCTTCTTGGATGAGAAACAAAACATCTTAAAAGAAAAACCAGAAAGTCCAATTGCCTCTTGAAAAAGCACCTTTGGGAGAACCAAAAAGAAGTTTTGAAGCAGTAGATGAGCAGTAGCTTGTGAGACAGGATGACTTTTGCTATGCCTGAGGGTACCTTACTATTAAAGTTCTAAGCATCAATATTGTCCAAAAATGAAAACTCTCTTGAATTTTGGTACAGAGCAAAACAGCAAGAAAGTGAAACTGTATATTTCCCTTTTTTGCTACAGTGATTTGGGAAGAGACTATTTAAATCTCAAGCCACTTTTAGCTTAAGTTTGCTCCTATATTGCTTGGATTGAAGATGATTCAGACTCAAGAAATTCTTGAATTTCTTTAATCCAAAATCACTGTAGTCTAAGTAACTTGTGGTTGGGATTTCCCCAGAATGGAGATTTATCCTGCAATATTATGGCCTCTTTTTCCTTATTTCAAAATAAACTAAAATCAGGTACTGAGGTGCCATAAAGCCTTTTAGAGCAAACATGAATATATAAAGGCTCCTGCCAATATAAAATTTTGTGTTTTATTTCCCATTCAGCTTATTCTAATCAGACATTATCTTTGTAAACATTGGATTAAAGAAGCTGCAAGGTGCAGAGATTTAAGTGAATAGAAGATGCAGGATTGGAGAAAATTAACTGTACTTCTCTTTATCACTTTCTAAATGTCCTCAGTGTGCTGTTAAATGCAGAATGAAAGAGAGAAGGCCAAATTATATCTGTCTTGTTTTCTCCCTGACCAGCAGCAATTTCAGAAATATAATTTGAGTTGTGACTATACAGAGAGGAAAATATGTTTCCCAGTTGTCCAGTTAACATCAAATCCCTACTACCTCCCACAACTGCATGTTAGATAAAAAATATTGAGAGCTCCAAATACAAATTTCTCACATCATGCATTATAACTATAAAATGGTATAATGCTGTCATACTCTGGATTTCATTCTATTTTGCCTAAACGTTCAGCCTTATTCAGAAAGACTTCTGTTCTCTTTGTCCTTTCAGTCCCCAGAACACATGCCGAATAGGAGGAAGACTGGTGCTTCGGTTCTGCTTCTTTCTTTTGTTCTTATACTGCAAACATCCCTGAATCTAAAGCCTTCAGTGTTCCTTTATGTCATTTTGGAAGTGAGTGTAATTCTTTCATCAAACTTCTGGATAGAATAACAGGCTTGAATTTTGTGGAAAGACAGTGTGCATGGTCAAGGAAATAATGTTATGGAAAAACAAATATCAACTTTGTTAATTCTTAGAAGTTGGTGCCAAGAGCTCTTCATTTGCCAGTAAGAAGAATGTGATTTGTCCTAGATGTATTGGTATTTCCAAGTTACTGGTTACTATGATCTAACTGGGTAAAGAAATATATTTTTTCCTTCTATTGTCAGAAATGATACTTGTTAGAAGATTCTCACACATCATTAATGGGATTAACATTTACTGTTTCCTTTTTGAGTCAGTTCTGCTGTAAAATTAGATCCTTTAAGATGAACTATGTTGTAATGCCAAAGTCTTTGTTCACTCTTTACCTCATAGTATTTTTTGAAATTTAGCTGGTATCTGGAAATATTATTTTCTATATTCCAAATAAGGCCATCTTCTGAGAGTGTTATGAGTTATATATACATCTATACAGCAGCATATGAATTATCCTGGGGTAAAGGATATATTATTTGTGGGCTCTTACAGAAAGAGTAATGCAGCATTCTCACTCCAGGGATCTTCCAAATATATAGATTTTATTTCCCAGAATTCTCTAAATAGCATAACTGTGGCTAAAACTTCTGAGAGTTGAACTGTCACATTTCAGTTTGGGAGGAGTGGGGGAGGGCAGGGAGACTGGAATAAGGCAATATATCACATAACTATTTCAACTATGTTATCAGGCAGACACAAGTGATGCCCATGGATCTGTACATAATTGATACTTTAAACTTAACTAAGCCCAAAATCCAGGCATTGATTATGATACATTTTCTTGTCTTTCTGAAAGTTTCATTTGATATAGTTGATTACCCTGAGATTTCTGAGGAGTTAAGTGCTATTCAAATAGGCTTCTCTACCAGCATTTGGCCAGTACTCTTGATAAAATCCGAAATGGGATCTTAATTCTAAGTAATAAGGATTAGAATCCTATTAATTTGTATTTGGAGAAAGCCCCATTAAACTCAGTGGGATTGACTTCTGAGTAAACATGCATTTGATTGTTAAAATATTGGGTTATATCTAACATAATCCTTTTACCACTGTACACTACTGACAAATCAAATTCAGAATTACTTTGTCCTCCAGATGTTCTATAGGACAAGATGAATAGAAGTGATTGCTGTTTGAGAAGAAGTACATTCACACATAACAGATATAGTCCATCATGCTTTTTATATTTCTTAGACTTGCCAAAACAAGAGTTTCTTCAGCCTATTTCTATGACTATGTAGGAGATTGTAGGATTTCCTTAGACTGGTTCTGTTTATGCTGTAAATTTTCTATTCTTCATCTTTGTACAATGGGAAATACTAACCAATATGCAAAATGTCATATACCTACTCTACTTTTTTAAATTTTGTATTTATTAATTTGTTTTAAGATGTTCTCTAACGCACGTTTCCAGGTTTAAACACTGTTGTCAACTAAAATATGATGGGTAATTGTTACAATCAGATCCCCCCAGCATTTCACTATAATCCAATCATAAAGTGACTGCTTTATAATAATGTTTAGCCCCACCCCTTCTGGGCAGCAAAATAGGTTAAAAAATTACACTGGATTTTTCCCAATACACTTGTAAATGTGAATCTGCAAAATATACTGTCTGTTGTTGTTAAAGAATAAACATTTTCGTCAATACACCTGGTACTTTGAAAACAGATTCATTTATTTGTAAATGTAGATCCATTGTCCCCAAATTGGTACCCTTTAGATATGTTGAACTACAACTCCTATTTCCAATGTGCCTTGGCCATAATAGCTTGGAAATCTATACATTATCATCCTACACTGCTGAAGGGCAAAAATCAGATAAAGTTGTTTTATGTTCACTTTACTATGACTAAACCAGTATTCATATTATTCTGGATTAGTATACTCTTACCTGCAAGGTTGGATCCAAGTATATCAGATCAGTCATCTGAACATTTCACCATGATTAAGATTACTTTCAAGCTCTTTTTAGTGCTAGTATTGGTATTTCTTTGTTTCTACTCATAACAGGAGCTCATTTGTTGCCATATGCAAAGTAACCCTTATACAATATAAATATAAAGAAATGTTTTCTTGCTTTCAGCTTCATGTTTATAGTATTTACTTAAATGTATGAATATATCACTGAAGCTGACCCAGTAACTCTTCTGTAATCAACCATCAAAAATTGATCCAAATGACAGAATCTCTGGCAGAATCTCTTATAACCATTCATTTGGTGATCATTTCATGTTACAATGGCACTGAAAAATTGACTTATGACCATTTTTCACACACAACCATTGCAGCATCCCCATGGTCACATTGCAGCATCCCCATGGTCACATTGCAGCATCCCCATGATCAAAATTCAGATACTTTGCAACTGAGTCATAATATTTGTGATGGTTTCAGTGTCCTGGTGGTACGCTATCATCTTTTGCCACTTTCTGACAGGCAAAGTCAAATTCGTTTAACTGTTACTAACTTAACAAGTGCAATTATTCACTAACAGTTGTGGCAAGAAAGGTCATAAAATGGGGCAAAACTCACTTAACTCTCTCTCTTAGCAACAGAAATGTTGGGCTCAATTGTGGGTTGTAAGTCAAGGATATCGGTACAGGTTTGGATACTTCAATTTCATCTCTAGTGGAAGCAAAAGAAAAGGCGGTAATAAAATAAAATCTCGCAACTTGAAATTGCTTGCTTAAAGCAAGGACTATTGGGCCACCCATACTGGGGTAGTACATATTTCATAATGGAAATCATTCCTGAGAAGATCTGTTGCTTGGTCTATGCCTCACAAATCTTCAAGGAGTCAGACCTTCAACAGACACTATAAATGTCTGAACAGATGTTCTTTTGGAAAAGCATTGGCTGATCTAGCTCAGTCCTGCACGCTGAATGGCTTTAAAGGTAATGACTACAACTTTGTATTGGTCCTGGAAGCCTGCTGTAACCAATTCAGCAACTTCAAAACTAGGTAGGGGTTAAGCCCTATCAGCAATTATGACACTGCTTGCTGTACAAATTGGAGTTTCCAAGTCATCTCCGAAAGTACCCCCACATAGATCATTGAATGAAGTGATGATTAACTTGCTAATACATCCTGATCAAAGTAGACGAGTTGTAACTAGTCAAAGTTGGACAGTCCCCTGGTTGCAGCTTCCTTCTGTTTTAATAGAAACTAACAATCCAAGAGATCCCAAGTCACTAACTTTTCCAGTGTTGTATGACCCATCAAGAAGTAAGTACAGTACAGGACTTCTCTGATGTTTACTGACAAACAGTTCCAACTTGGAATGGTTTAATCTGAGCTGCCTTTGCCCCATCAGGAAGGATCCTTAGAGCCTCCAGGAACTGATTCAGAAGATCTTAGACTACAGATTTTAATGCCAGCTTTGCTTAGTGCATGCTTGGGGATTTTTCTTGGTAGTGGGCTAGGTATATGAAATTGTATTCGTTAAAAATGTAAGGCAAATTTCAAAGAAGCACATGCCTCAAAATTGTCACTTACTACCGTTTTTTAAATATCCGCAGGTTTCTGAGCAAGAATAAACGGTTATGTAGTAAGAGCACAACCTAATGCGAATAGTAATAACGTACAAGCAGCTTTGACAAGTGTCATTAGCTATTAATTATAGTGGGAGGGGCAGCTGCCCCAAGTCTCACGCGTGAAGGAAAACAGCAGTATCTCCAATAAGTATGTTGATTCGTTCGTGATTTAGTGTTATATCGAACATAATCAAGAGGATCGAATCCCCCCCCCACCCCATTATTTCGGATTTCTTCTAGTTTGTGAGCTTTCGATTTTGATGAGATATACGGGAGTATACGTAAGGCTTAACCCACCCACTCATTTCTTGACGATCCTTACTAAACGTGATCCTACGAAGCTACCATGCGTGGGGTTAATTCGCAGCCCAGCATTTCCTCCAATGCTAAGACTAACGTCTCAGGGCGAAGCCATGCCGAACCTGGTTACTGAAGATTCTTTTAAGCAGCTAAAAGATACCAAGAACTAAATCTGCACTCCGAACACGTGATTTCATATTACACCACGATATCCTTTTTTCCCGGTTTCTTTCTTTGCAGGCTTTCAAATAGCGCGTAATTTTTTTGTGGAAGAAAACGGTCCCTGCTCCGTCCGATAACGTTAATACTTCGTATACTAGACTCAAGAGCAGTGCGGTGCTGTTGTAGATGCTCGTGGATAAAGACGGCTAGACAGCCGAGCGTTTCAGTTTCTGAACATCTGCAACACACTCGGGGTCCAGCGACAGAGACCGCGCGGGATCGGCGATCTCATTCGTCCACCGCAAAGGTTCCGAATGCGAGAGATTGTGAGCAAAGCCGCCTCTCAAGCTGCGCCTCTCCACGATCCCGCCCGACAGCAAAAGCCACGTCCCCGCCCGCTCCTCCCACCGAAGACCCTCCCTCTCCTCCCCCCCCTCACGGCGATCGGACTAGCGGCACTGCAGCCGTGGCGGCCATTTTGTGGCACTGCTGCGTCGTCGGCGGTTGTTTGGTTTCGGTAACAGGAGCTCGCGGGAAGAAACAGCTTCCACGCTCACGCCTTTTTTTTCCGTGCGAAGAACCCGGTAAGATACACGACGCTTCTTAGGCGACTCCCGGCAAAAAGCATCCGGAGGAAACCCGGCAGGGGAACACCAAGGGCTCCCGCCACGGCCTCACAAAGGCGGAGAGGGGCGGGGACCGGCCGGGAGTCTATAAGAGACTCCCGGGGTTCTGGTGGCTGATTTTTTGCTCAGCGCGGAGCCCGGCGACGCACCGTATAGGCGAAAGGTTCCTGGGCTGCCGGGTTCTCTGAAGCCTTTTTTAAGGGGGCTGGCCCTGGGGCCTGGCGTACCGGCCCCTCCGGCTCGTAGCGCCCGCGTGGGCTTGGCGAGCGGAGGCCTCGCGAGTTCTTGCCTGGGAGGCGGGAGGTGTTGCCGGCCGCACCATGCTTTCCGCTTTGCCTCTCCGAGTCGGAGTCGGAGGATGATGCCCGGGCCCTTGTCCGAGGCAGAATGCCAAGGCGTAAGCGCGCTCTCTTCCTGCCTGAAAGAAGTGCTGTTTTTTTGTTTTCCCTGGGCTACTTTTGTGACCTTGATCACCGGGAGGTGCTGCGTTCGCTTTTTCAATCTGAACGTCTGGCTTCAATTGGGCCGCAAAGCCGCATCGATGTTTAAACGGCATGAAAAGTTATACTTTTTGTGTATGACAAGCCCTGGCGCGCGTGGTTGCCTTTTCATTCAGTCTCCTGATTTCAGGGACCGCCTCCAGATAACGTTTTTCAAAAATAGCCTTTTTTTAGTTAGCGGTCTCAGTAATTGACATCACTGTGCTGTGATATGTCTTTCAAAATTGCTTTTCCGAAATCAACTGTTAGGATAATGGATAAGTGCTGACGAATCGCTGGGACTTGGGAGCGCTTATTATTAACTTGACAGACATGATGGGTGTTGCAGTTATATAACATTACTTTCTGCTAATTTGCTTGCCCTCCGGGTTCTTATTATTGAAGAGGTCAGTCCTCTGAAGGGTTGTACCAATCAGACATTGCAAGGTTTTTTTTGAATTTACCGAATGTCTGCATGGTATTCTATGATTTTTTTTAAAAAAAAATTACCTTTATGGGAGAACAACCTGATTTTTTCCTGCTTTTACATAGGCATCTTGATAGCTTGATAGATTTATTTTTCACAGAATTGGGTTTAATTGGTCTGACAAAGAAATCAATTAAACATTCATTCTTAGGGGAATCAGAATAATTCATTTTTCAAGTTTCTGAAGTTACTTAGAGATGTTGGTAGAACAAAATAGTTGAACTATGTTTACTTTTCTGTCATTATTAAGGGTGATTATTACTAGATCTTTCATATTTCAAACAGTAATGGAGTAATGGCATGGCAACAGTGGAGTCTGAAATACTTTAAATCAAAGGGATTTCTTTTGGGGTAATGCATATTAATGCAGTATTTTTTCAGAAATTTTGCCTTTAACATTTTTTTAAAATAATAAATTCTTATTATGATGTTTTTTCATCACTTTGTCTCATTCACCAGTAATGAAACTTTTGAAAATGTACCATACTTCTACTTCATTCCAAAGTATAATACTTTCGCTGCAGCATATGCCACTTAGAAAAACAGTTCTCAAAGTGTGGCCAAAGTGATAATTGTGGCACAGTTTGCCATACAATCTTTTGCTGCCTTCCTGATGTGCTGTGTATCTACTGCTTATAAGTACATGTGTCATAATTGTTTGCAGACTGACCTCTGTTGGTCCAAGCCAGAACTAACTCCACAGGCTACATTTGGTTTTGAAAACTAGTCCTGCCCACTTCCCAGTTCTTAATAACAATAGCACTTAGATTTATATACACTTCACAGTTTTTTATAGCCCTCTCTAAGTGGTTTACAGAATCAGCATATTGCCCTCCCCCTCTCTCCGATAATCTAGGTCTTCATTTTACCGACCTCAGAAGGATGGAAGACTGAGTAAACCTTGAGACTGATGAGATTTGAACTCTCAAATTGCAGTCAGTCAGCAGAAGTAGCCTGCAGTACTTTCATTCTAACCACTGCGCCACCATGGCTCTGTATGCAAGAGAAAGGCAAAATTATTAAATGCCATTGACTTTTGTTGTTCTTTTGTTTGTTCTG